CCGTCATTGGCGTGCCGAGATAAAAATGTTTTTGATGCCAATTGCAAAGTCTAGTTTACCACCCACCCACCCATATTTAAATTCATCTCATTCAGAACTCATACATCAATATTTCTCTACCTAAATATACACGATAATTATGTGATTTACATATTATTATCCAACAACCACCTACCCCTTTTTAACTTGATGCCTGGACATCATTTAGACCTATATTCGGCACGCCACTGGTTGCCGTCATTATTACGAGGACAAAACGGTGATGACGTGACGATAACAATAACGATATTGCGCGCGAAACGCACTGTCGAAATTCGCGGCGGCGGCGGTGGAAGAAGGGGAATGCCGTCGCGGTCCGCCTTGAGAAATCGCCGGGCCGCCGCTTGTGCGGTCGCGCGGCGCACGCGGTGCCGGTTCAATCGCGTCGATGTGTTGCGCGCGGCCGGATGACATGCAGCGGACGGCTAACGAACGCGCGTCGGTCGTGCTCAAACTGGGCCGGTACATCGTGCGCTGTCTAACGGCCCAGCCGGACATCTGGTTCCTGTTCCTGTACAAGTGCGGGCAGCTGGTCACGGTCAACCTGCACGAGCCGGTGGCGCGCAGCGTGAGCATCCTGGACGAGCTGTTCCAGTCGTCGCAGCAGCAACGGACGACCTGCCCGTCGGCCGTCGGAGGGTCGACGTCAGCGCAGGGACAGCGCGCCGCCGCCGACGCCGCCGCCGTTAGGTCACCGGACCCGGAGCCGGACAACGATCAGCACCGTGGCATGGAAGTGGAGGACGACGCGGACGGGGAAACGGCCACCGACGACGACGGGTACACCGACTCGGACGGCGACCCGTACGCGTTCCTTACCAGCCGCCGGTTCACGTACGGCTCGGCCAGCCGCCGGACCAGCAGCAGTTCCGGCATCGGGCGCAGCTACAGCAGCAACAGCCGTCGGAGCAGCCTGGCCTCCCGTCGCGAGGACTGCACCAACGTCCGGACCGGGAACACCACCGCGGGTACGTACCGATTTCTACCCTCCCTCCCGGAAACACCCGGACCATCCCCGGTTACCAACGCGGTTACGGGGGTGTTTCGCACGTGCGTTCCGAGTCGGACCACGCGCGAAAACGGCCGAAACGATTACGCGCGATATTGATATTTATTTTTTTTTCACTAAAAAAGTTGTATTGTTCGAATGTTTATCGGTATTGTTCGAATTCCAAACGTTAATGCGGCTGCGCGTTAAAAGAAAAGCTGTTACGTATCTCTACCGAAGGTTCTCGGACACGGTGTTTCGCCCTCGCCGCGCCAAAATGAGTTGAGAAAAAATTAAATCGTGTTCGACGGAAGAGCCAAGATCCACTTTTCGTTTGGCTTTTTTTCCCGTGCGCCGGAGCATCTGATGTCTATCAATCAACAAGTTTACTGATTGCGTTTTAGAAACGCACATTGATTCTCCAGTATATTTCCATATCTGAAATGCAGTCGGATATTCCGGACAACGAGATTTCGTTCATCATATATCATCGTGATTTAAAAGATCGGTTCTACGTGCCTCAGTTTCGTCTATAGAGTAATTGATTTATTATTAAAATTACGAAGCGAAACATATTCGTTTACGAAATCTCCTCCTAACTAAAAATTAAGTATATCTCACGAAGACATAATTGTGCGATGGAAAAATATATTTTATGTTTTGACATAAAACTATAACATAATAAACAATAAACATAATTTTGATTAAATAATCAACCGCTTTATTAAAATTATATTTATTTTCATTTATTTTTCCGTATATTATATTTCGTCGATTATTGACAATTTTAAATATTTTCGAATTTTTATACATAACATAAATATAACATAAAATATTAATTTTGACGTAAATAGTACGTCCTTTTTGTACCTTTGGCGTTTATGTCATATAGTCGACCTAGTGGTTTTCACTGGTTACATCACAATGGCGGGTCGAAAAATCGACTGAGCGACGGTTACTGTGGTAGCGCAGGGTCGCGTCGAGCGCGAAAAATGAGAGATCCAACCCTATCGTTAATCGAATAATATCGCAGATCCTACGGGTAGTATTTTTTATCTTTTGGGTTAAAAACTATTGTCTGACGCACCGATTGTGGTATTTTTTCGATCGGTCAACGAGCTCAATTGGCGCTCATCGATATATCGAAACGATTACTAGTAGTAAATGTTCTCCGACGCTCCTTTTATTATCGTTGTCGACTTTATTAACAATTCGGACGTCGTAATTATTATTCTTATTATTATTGTAGTATTATTGTTATTCTGGACACATGCAGCAAACAACAATCGATTCACGACCACGAATAACAATAATCTTCGATCGAAGGTTTTTCTTTTAAAGGTTTAAAAACATACCAGTAGCTTAAAATATATGGTACACGTGTATATCGCATGTATGTTAAGTACGCAACGATGTTATCATATTTATTGTGCGCAGACGTATGTCTGCGCTCGTATTCTGTACGCATTGTTACAATTACCGTTCGGTTTTTATACAACGCTTGTTGTTGTGTTTCTCAGCAGAAGCGTTTCTTTTCTTTTTGAGTCTCCCACATCGGGTTAACAGTACACTACGGGTAAACGGACAGACCGTATAATGTACGTGTAGGTCAAACAATTTCGAGCGATAGGACGTCCGAGACGCGCATAGTTATTCCCTTTTTTTCCGTCTTCCGCTCGCCGTACACCGCGATTTGCAATACAATGACATTTGTCTGCTATCCACCGAACGTTTCGATAACGGCGATTTCGGTTTCGGCTGATAATTTACTTCTGTTGTAACTTCGTTTTAACAGTTTTAACGCCCTTCTCGTACGCGCCATCACATATCACGATTCGCAATGTGGGCGTATGTGATGGTCCCTTTACATAATTATTCGTCTTTGTTGGGAAATATTTTGTACACTTTACGAAACTCATTTTATGGTTAGTAGGTACATATTATTATTATACGTTTGTATGAAACATGTAATATTTATTACGTATTGTGCGACGTGATACACCAATTCTCAATAACAGTACGCAAGTATGGATTTAAGGGTATTTTTCAACAAATACGCCAAACATTTAGAACCATAATATTTCAAAATTTCATAATTTAAAAAGTGCATTATTTAAATACTGGTTTTAAACTTAAACGTGTATTTATTCGTGTTCTTGAATAATAAACAAAACATGGAGATTTATAATAGGTCTGTAAAATTTATAAAACGACTGGTATATTCTAAAATGAACGTTTAAATTTAAGCTAAAATATAATAACATAATACCCACTAAACTAGTGTAGTTATAGGTATTAGTTATAGTTATAGGTATAGTATAGGTATTGTGTACTTGAATCGTTCAGAAAGATGTTATAAACAAGAAAAAAAATTATGATGTTCATATTTGTTTATTAATAATTATATATATATATTATAACTATTTAAATAGGAATATATTTTAAATAAAACGTGTGTAAAACAATTAACTGAAGAAATACATACATTTTTAAACCTGGAACCGTGTCTCCTAGTGATCAATTCAGTTCTTCCATATTTAAATATTATACAATATAGTTTTATTAAAGCTACTAGTTTTGGTAAAATGTTTGTAAATAAAACCATAAATTAAATACTTATTGTTGCACGTGGTTTTACCGTAAGCATTTGAAGTGATAACATTTTATGCTCAGTTTAAGTATAAATAATATGTAATGTATTTAACACCGATCACCAATTGAGAATAAATTACATTATTTCGTTGCACACATCGTAAATCGAAAAAATGTTGAATTTAACGTTTTTTAATTTAATTATATTTAATTTATATTATATTATATTATATTTAACGTTTTTACCTTCTTATGCTTTTACCGAAAAATTGTAAACAAGTATAAGAACACTAAGTCTAATCAACAAAATCACTGTTCAATCTATTTTTCTGTTGTCTATTTAACGACACTACGAAACTAATTAACCACAACATTCTTGTCACAATTAGAATGTGCTGTGTTTTCAACGTTATTAAATCTTTATATGGTTTATAATTTTTTAATTATCCTCAGTATCATTTCTAGAAATTACTTTTTAATCCAAGAAAAAAATCGAAGGTTGCGTGACATAATTTTTATAAATAATTTATCCTTGTTTACCTTGTCGAATACAGAAAATCTAGGTTATCATTGGAAATTGAAAGATACTAGGTGCATCACCAATACATAACATTAAAACGGTGTCACAAAGTCCGCGATGATTGTATATTAGGATTGGATTCAATTTTAAAAACAATTAAATCACGACATTATTTGTGCACCGATGAACAAAACAATAATGATTATTGATAGACGCAACAATATAACATACATTATTTATGTAAACCAACCTTTAGAAGATTATTATTGTTGAATTACTGCATCACTTATTAGTATATGAAGAAATGCGTTAAACGTTCATGCATTGATTGTCAATGAAAACTTATAATGTACTGCCCTGCAGTAGTGACTTGTTTCGATATTTTTTTTGTTGCATCGGTTCATTATCCCAAAATACACGAGATGCCTAATTTCACGATTTACCGGTGACCCGATTTTTTAAAAGAATTGTAAATTATGTAAAATTATGTATTTATCGTTTACACAAACCTTGTTCTCTATAAAACTGTAAATGTCCAACAGATCTATGATATTTTAAAACTTGACATTTATCATAGTTACCTACTTTTAATACACCTAAAATATAATGCGTTTATTGTTTAATTATTATAAAGAACCGATGGATTATTTACTATCACTGTAATAAAACACTTCTTTACCATCGTTTTTACTATGAAAACATTTTATCATCACTATAAAACCTTCAGTAGACGAATTGTAGAATTATATTTGTATCGTTTTTCAAAATACAAATTTTTTTAAATTTTTTTTTTTCTAGCAAAAAAAGTGTTAACCGTAGACAAAAACCAGTCTAAAATGTTTTACGATTGGGTCTCCTAGAACCCCGAATGTCATCTAAAAGATGGTGAATTCCACATACACATTTGTTATGTTTAATATTGAGTTTTCAATAAACCATAATATCAGCGTTTATACTTTTTATGTTCATTACGTAATATGTAACTACCTATACCAAATTATGTTGATTACATAAACGACAGTAAAAACACTACGTGCACGTGCAATAAGTCAATCATAAACTAAGCAGGAAAATCTTGTGTAAAGTATGAAATAATAATTTTGTTAAATTACGAGTAACAACGTATGGTTATTAATTATATTTACGTCTCCTCGGAGTCCATGATCAACCGAAATCGGGCGAAAAATCTCTTCTTCGTCCATTTGTCGAGAATCTAAACGCTTCTAAAATGTATGATAAAATCTCAATGCGTTTCATAGCTTTCTGCATGGCAGTGTTGCACCGTTGACACGTTCATAAATATGAATAGAATATCAAGTTGTGATATCAATCACAGAGTATTTGTTGAGGGTAAATATTGCATAAACTCGCCAAAATCAAATATTATATGTCACTCAATTACCAGAGGTAGATTTTAGTCAAACGTAGTTCCAATCCTACTATTGCCAACATAGTTGTGATTGTGGTTTACCTACTCTATACTTGTACAATTTTGGAAACAGTAAGGTATTGCATTCTTGTTGGTTGTATTCAAAACGTAAAATATTGAATATAAATACCTGACCAATACAAAAGAAGGGTCTGTGAGAACTTACAACTCGTGAACACGTGTAATTTGGTTTAAAAATAATATCCACACCGAATGGTGCAGCTTTAAGTTTAAAGTACAATGTGATAATACAATAACGTCAAGCCCTCATTTTTTCGGTCTTGGTTTTAGTGATTTTGAATTTCTCAATCTTAGGTATATAATTATAAAATATATTCACTATATTTTATTATATTGAATTTCCACGATTACTGAAGTACCTACCTCTTTTATATTATATTAATTTCTAAGTAATATTTTTACAGCATTATTACTATAC